TAGCGTGAAAATCGAGTTACATGCTGTAATTTGAGCCGCACAAATTTTTGAGACCACATCGTGGCCGTGAACCTTTATGGCCGTGAACCTTTAGGAACGATTGTTTTTGACAACCGTTCCTGCCCCATTTCCTAGTTTTTCCCCTAACAAGCAGAAAACAAAATTGCAAAGTCTGACGTTGAAATGTAAGGACAACATGACGCATCAAAAAATCCGAAGAACCAAGAAGGATGGGAGGCGGAGAAAATGATCTTGTTAAGCATATAACTAATCTTACTCTCCAAGAAAGAAGAAGGAGAAGGAGAAGAAGAAAGAAAGGAGAGGAAGAAGAGGAGGAGATAAAAACTTTAAGACCAAGCACGCAAATATGCATGTGCAACATATTTGGATTTACAAAATCATAAAGGGTGTGTTTGGATGGAGGGATTTGGGTGGATTTGATTTCAAATCCTCTTCCTAAATCCGTCACTGTTGAGATATGTCAATTTTTCCTACAGATTTTATCAGATTATGTTTGATATCAAAATAATTTAGTTATTAGAAAAATAAGGATATTTGTTAACCAAAAATCATGTTGGTTTGTTAACAAATATTTGAGCTAAGATTTGCTAGTAGACGAAGATTATATTTTGTTGAGATTTTTAGGATAATTGTTAGTTGAATATTTTGCTAGTTTGTTTCATGTAATCACTATAAATAGTGAGTTGATGAATGTAGAATACAAACTCATTTTCCACCTTCAATACAAGTCTCTTATAAGTTTTTTTTGCAACATTAAAGTGTTGTTTCTTAGTTTATACCCCCAAAAAACCAACACTCACGTTGTTTGGATAACTAAGAATGAATTTGGATTTGAAATCCATCAATCCTTCAAGTATTAAAAATTGGGAGTATCTGAAATTTGCCCAAAACATATCAATTGAAATCCATTGGTTACCACGGAGACTTTAATTATAGGTTGGAGGTCAAGGGTTCAACCTTACCTTCCACCATATAATTGCCACTTAATTGTGGTTGCCATTTTAAATGGCTTTCTCTGATAGGGTTTCCCGTCGGCTCCCCCTTCCCTAGATTAGGATAGCTTAAGTTATACAAGTGTTATCATTGAAAAAAAAAAGAAAGAAATCTATCTCTTCACGTCTCTTTGTTCTCTAGTCTATAAACTGTTTCTGTCCTGGTTCGAAGAAAAGAAAATGATCAACACTATAACCGGGGCCAGCTTAGGGCTGCAAACGAATCGAGTCACTCACGAGCTGCTCGAGTCAAGCTCGAGTCGCGCTCGAACTCGAGCTCAAAATATTAAGCTCGTTAATTTGCGAGCCGACTCGCGAGTTCGAGTATATATATATAATATTTTTTATTTTTTTATTTTAAGTGTATATATATTTTTATTTTCTTATTTTAATAGTAAAATTACATATATATCCTTAATATTTTATTATTTATTAAGAAAAAAATATTATTTTATTTATTTTTTAAAAAATAAAATAATTTTTTTAATTTTTTTCGAGCTCAAACTTTAAAATTGCCGACTCGTCGAGTTCGAGTTCGAGTTTGAGTTTGATAAAATTTAGTCGAGACTCGGCTCGATTAGTCCAAATCTCGACTCGACTCGACTCGTTTACAGCCCTAGGCCAGCTATTCTGTTCCATATGAGTGTCATTGTTGTGGCATCGCCTGTGCTAGCCTACTGCTGCTTCCGTGGCGGCATGGGTTGCTCCTGCTAGTTCTCTTTAAAGTTTCTTTTTTTGTTTTGTTTTTTCCCCTAAAAAATTTGTGAAAAAAGAAAAGATAGAATAGAAAGGAATAAGAAAAAAGACGGGGCATAAAAAGATTGTGAAAGGGCTGTTGGCATGGAAGCAAGTATGCGATTGTGAAAGCTCAAAGCTTCGATTTAGGGTTTTGAGGATCACATGCCTGAGTATGAACCAAAAAACTACAATTTTATGTTAGCCCCTTAACTTTTAAGTATTTTGATTTCTACCCCAATTGTCTTATTAATTTAGAAATCCTTTGCCTTGCATAAATTCTTATCCAAACAAGTTATTTATATATAGTTAATGTGGATTTCAAATACAGTCATTTCAAATATATTGCAACATATTCATCATAAAATTCAAATCCATCAATCCAAACGGAAGCTAAAAGTTTTTCTCCTGTGTTTTTTGTGGGATCACTTTTTAACTTTTAGGTGAATGAACCAATACGCTTTAGTACTTGTATTAGAAAACTATTTATGGCAAAATTGTGGAAAAAGAGGGCATATCTCAAAGTTTAGAGGGTACAATTAATGTTTTCATTTGCAAAAATTCATCAACCTTAGTGCTTTTCTTTTCTGTAGTGGATTTGTATTGGGAAATACAAAGTAACAATGCTCTTAGTTGAAATGATGACTCGTTATTCCATTAGAAGGGGGCAAAAAAGTCCGATCATGCCGCCCATATGGTTCAGCAAGTACTTCACCTAATCTTTGCTATGATCCTTATTTCATAGAGTAAGAAGAACATTTGATCCCCGAGTGTATCAAATGAAATCTTTGAAGTTTTTGACACTAAATATCAAATGAAATATGGCCAGCTAAAATGCTATGCATGTGTAGTTTTTTGACACAGAGAAACTCAACCATTTCTATTTTAATTTGATAAGGTGTAAGTAGATATGTTAATGGATTGGATGTTACACAAATCTTGCCAAAACTCAAACCCTGTAAGAGAGTTATGAATTTGGCTAGGGCTTGATTTCTATGATTCATGTACGATATACCATGCCTCACATGCATTATCACGTTTCTTATTATATCGCTATAGCCTTTGTGTGTAGGCCAAATTCAGTATTACAGTTCCAAACAGGATAACTAAATTATTAATATAGTGGATGAACTAAATTAATCATGAAGAAAAATATTAATTCTTAAGAGGGGATACCACCATAATCGCCTACCATTTGTTGTAATATTAGTTTCCCCACTCCCTACCAAATGAAGTAACGACAAGATCACACCACCAACTGCCAACTTGGTTGACGATTTATAAAAACATTGAGGGAATTGAACAGCAAGCACGAGCTGGCAACTATACTTTAAGAAAATGAAAATGTCAATTTAGGAAGAAAAGAGGAGCATCCAGCACCCAGATATGAAATGTATGAAAATTTTAGTATGTGAATCTCAATTAAGCCCTCCCAGATATAAAATTATAGCAGTTAGGCCCTTAAAGAAATTACTTTTTATTTGTTCAACTTCACTCTCCAAATTAGTGTAATACTGCTTAAGCCTCTGGTATCATGGATACTTTGATGTGTTTACTGTGCTTGAGCCCTCTAAGACCATTGTCAAAGTCTTTTCCATTTGGCTAACAAATTTGTCTGTTATACAACATCATTCTCCAAAATCCGCATAAGTTCATTTTAAAAAGACCAAAAAAAAAAAAAATCATGACTAAGATGGTTGCATGTTTTGGAGGTTGAATTTAGAGCAAACCTTAATTCAACTAATTTAGAATTTGAAAAATACATAAATTTACAAAATCAACTTAGACTTCAATTCGTTGTATGATCAAAAGCCATTAGGCAGTTGGTGCCGAAGAGATTCGTTGTCAATTAATTAGTTGTAAACTAAGTAGGGCTAATTACTTAAAATATTGGCCAAAAAAAAAAAAGAAAAGTCGGGCATTTAGGGTTTTGATAGGAGTGTGGTATCAATCTATTGGTGCCGGCTGACATAGCCCGGCACACCTGACACAAAAAAATTTTTTTTTTCAAATGTTTTCTTTGACTGGCTGCCGGGCTGACAGAACCCGGCAGCCCACTTGCAAAAAGTAAAAAAAAAAAAAAAAAAGCCTAACTCATATTCATAAGTCGATAAAAAAGGGCAAGTTTGGCATGTGAAGAAATTTACCAGCTAAAACAAGCCATCCATTTTCAGCTAAGCGGCTAATTATCATTTATGATTTATCACTCCCTGACTGCCTTCTTCTGCTTCTGCTTGCTGCCTCCTCAGTTCTGACTTATCCCGTGCAGATACACCAGAGCCTCACAATCATTTTGCTTTGCTACAAAATATAACACTAAGTATATAGTAGTAGTAATTAATATACTTAGAAATATTACATTATAATTAAGTTCTTAATATATAGCCAGAAGGGAAAAAAATAAGAAAGAAAAAGAGAGCACTTAATTAGATAGCCAAAAAGTTCAGTCCGACATGTTATTTCAGATGAATGTTTCAGTTGAATTAGGGTTAGGGGTGAAATTCATGAAATTTTCTTTGAGTAAACCGATTTCAATCTCCTGCCCACTATTATGCAGTATAAATTAGAATCACATGAGTCCCATGAAGAAGTCTTTGCCAAAGTTAGTCGTAAAAAGAGGGTAATTTGATCACATTAATCTTGAATCTATAAGAACCATGAACGGAATAATGAAACATATCATGAAGCTTATCTACCGTACAAGCAATTCAATTATTGGTGTATATATATATATATCACTTGCAAATTACAAATCAACTTCAAGCTATCTAGGAAATGAAAAGCCAGCGGGAAATAAATGGTACCAACTACCATTAACATGTACAAGTTAAACGATGTACAAACGCAATAATATATACATGCACACACAGAGTCTATGCCTATATTACACACACAAAAAAATTTTTGCTATTAAAGAATTAATTCTGCTCAGGTCCATCAAAATACACTACCGTATTAGTTGTTGTATTTCACTCTGCAAATTAGCATGATACCACTTAGAAAGAACCAAAAACCTATCTAACATAATTGCATGCTTATGAGGTGGACATTATAGATAACATTATTAAACTTGAATGATCTGAAACTATCCAAAGTTAACTCACACTTCAACTTGCAATATTGAAAGCTACACAGCATACAACTGTTCAGGAAACGTGGAACAAATTTGTCGACTTCCTATATTCCGACCGTTAATCCAGAAGCAATGATTCTCGTCTCCAAGTAAAATATACATCAAATGTTCAGACCATCTCGCTATGGTAATAGAGAGGAAAAGAAAAATTGGATATGGAGGGGGAGAAAACCCATAGTGGCATAGTCTATGGAGCGCTTCCATATATAAAGTCGAAAGCTAGTAGAAATCCAAAATCAGTTAAAATGGAGAATTCAGAAAAAACCCAACTGAAATCATCATTGTCACCATTAGCCTATGGAAATGTGAAAGAAGGAAAGCAGCCGGACCATTTCTCCTATGCCATGCAGCTGATCACCTCAGCATCACTCAGCATGGTTTTATACACCGCAGTCAAGCTAAAGTTGTTTGAAATAATAGCCAAAGCCGGCCCAGGAGCAAAACTGTCACCTTCAAAAATCGCATCCGTGTTGCTCAAGACCAAAAATCCTGATGCATCTTCCATGCTTGACAGGATGCTTCAGTTGTTGAGTAGCCACTCGCTGCTCAGTTGCGACGTTGTCGAGGTTGCAGACGGCGGTGCTGGTGGCAAAAATGATGTTGGATATGAAAGAGTTTACGGGTTGTCTCCAGTCGGCGAATATTTTGTACCCGATGAGGAGGGAAACTCACTTGCGCCGACCCTGGAGCTTGTTCAAGATAAAGTCCTGATGGACTGCTGGTAAGACCTAAATGCTTGGTAGTGTTTCTGTAAATAAATTTTAGTTTTTTTTTTCCAATGAGTATTCCCAGGTCTGTTGGTTCTGGATTTTGGAGTATTGAATGCGGAATCTTTCAGTAAATTGATCGCATACTTAGATGAGACAAAGTAGTAGTACTATTAAAACCTGATATCTTTAAACCATAACAAGCCTGATAGGATTCGAGCTTCTAAAATCATCCGTCCCAATTGCATGATAGGATGTAAACTGTAACACAAGTATTATAAACACTGATACAACAATATGAAAAACAAATTGTGATTGATGCCTGTAGGAGCCCCTCTTCCCCTGAATAAACAAGGCTCCATAAAACGTTTCAGGTAAGCTTGTTTTGGAGTTTGGACATTTCGAAAACACGTTTTCCCCAAACAAGATTTTGAAACACCTTTGATATATCACCTTACACGCCCATCCAGAAGTGATACATTAATGTTTTTGCAAAAAACTCCTGTCTATTAATCACACCATCCAAAAGGAGGCTAACTCCCTCCATTCCATATCTCCAATCTTCTTTCTGAAGTCTATACGTGTGGACTGTGGACTGTGGTGGTTGAGTTGAGTCAGATATCCTCACTCCTCAGACTGTTAAACATCTAAATGTGTTATTAATCTTTTGGAAAGGAACACCAAACAGGTAGAACATTTGTTGCAGGATAAGTAACCTAGATTCATCAGACCCATATATTACAGTTAGACTTGTGCTAAAGATTACACATATTGAAGGAAGAAAAATTTGTTTACCGTTTAAGGTATGTGAAGTGTTGGGATAGACTCGCAAGAAAGTATAATATTTTGAATGAGACAGAAGGAGTAACAAGCTGCATCAATAAACTTTTCTAGCAAAATCCAATCTGATATGTGAAAATTCATACGGTTGCAATTTGTTGGTTCCTCACATTCAGCTTTCATTCTAGGTATGAACTGGGGAATGCTGTGCTTGAAGGAGGAATTCCATTCAGTAGAGTCCATGGTACACATGTATTTGACTATTGTAGCAGGGATCCCAGGTTTACTGATCTATTCAATAAGGGCATGGTTGGTCCTACAGTTATAACAATGAAAGAACTGCTTCATCAATATAAAGGTTTTGAGAACCTTCAGACATTAGTTGATGTTGGTGGTGGGCTTGGAATGTCCCTCCACAAGATTGTGTCAAAGTACCCTTCTATAAGGGGGATCAATTTTGACCTGCCAAATGTCATTGAAAATGCGCCATAGGTGAATCACCAATAATTTTTCAAGAAAGTTGGTAGGTGAGATTAAGCTGCGTTGTCACTCAGCAAAACAGCTCATAAGAAATTGAGCGATAGTATACTTTTGGTCACTAAACAATTTTTAGTTTCAAATTATGCACCCAACTGACAGAAGTGGTATATTAATAGTTATTCCATCAAAATTTGCGGTCAAATTTATTATTTTTTATTAGTATAATGGGGTATTTGTGTCAATTCATTTAACGTTCATTCTACGATTTACATATACATATAGAAGAATGAGGAAAAAAATATTGCGGAACCAATTGAAATAAAAGGTTGATAAAAAGAACAAGGCAAAGCACAAAAAAAAAATATATATATATATATATATATGTGGTGAGTGATACAATGCATTTTTCATGAATTAACATAAATAATCCTAAAACAATCGGAAAAACAGGGCAACAACAAAGTGGTACTTTGTTTAATACCTGATTTGATTTTCCTTTTTCAAAAATAAAATGCCTGAACTCCATCTTAACACTTAATTTGATTTATTATTGGAAATTCAAAAGGAAGAGTTGGGGCAACAACAAAATGGCACTAAAATTCAATTCAAGAAACAATGAGTTTCTTGATGCCTTCCTTCATAGCAGTGTTGGTTGTGCTGTATCCACCATCAACTACAAGGTTTAGCCCACTAACATACTTGGATTCATCACAGGCAAGGTACAATGCAGCTTCTGCAATATCATCCGCCTCGAAGGTGGTCTCTTTCAAGTTGGCAATACCACACATGAATTCCTCTGCTTCCTTCTTCTCCTTCATTCCCATAGTATTCAGCAGCGCCGGAGTGGCGACCGTAAATGGAGAAATACAGTTCACTCTGATCCCATACTGCCCCAACTCGACGCACAAGTTCTTGGTCAGCCCTATCACCGCATGCTTAGACGCAGTATAAGCATGCGAGGCATCGCCAGATGTGACCGAACAAATACTAGAAGTAAAAAGAATGCTTCCTCTCTTGGCAGGGACCATTGCCTAGAAGCATGTTTGGCACATAGAAATGCGCCAAACACATTAACGTCAATGACTTTTCTAAAGTTGTCATAATCAGCTCCACCCATGATTGATGGATCAGCATTTCCTGCAATCCCCGCATTACCGAACATTATATCAAGCTTTCCATGTTTGGAAATCGCGGTGTCCACCACGTTTTTGACATCAGATTCATTTGTTACATCGCAGTGGAGATAAGAAAAGGATTCTATGGAATCGATTTCTTTGCATATGGAGTCGCCAAGATCATCTTGGACATCAGCAATGATGACCTTAGCACCATGCTTGGCAAACAGCCTCGCAGTGCATTCGCCAATACCACTTGCACCGCCCGTAATCACAGCAACTTTGCCTTCTAACCTGTTGAAACAGGAATATTAGCTAGATATTCGTGACTTCTATGGCAACAGAATTGGTCTACTGCTCAAATGTTCAGGGAAAAGCTTACAACATAGTCTTTAATGATGATATATTCGACATATTCATTTTTACTTACCTCTTCATAATTGGAGAAGCGAAAGAACTGCCACTAGACATCCACCAAGTACTTTCAGAGGAGACTCATTCATCTTGATCAAAATGTGTTTATAAAATCGAAGGTCCTAACCCAAAGGGACTAATTAAATAAATATTTGTCCTGTTTGATCGGGAATTAGGCTAAAACTAATTAAATGAATATGCAGTTAATAAATAGTAATATTTTTCATTTTTTTCTTATAAAAACTAATAAATCGGTGAACCAACATATTGGCCTGGTTGAACCCAAAAAAAAACCGAAATCACACAATCAACTTGCCAGAGTTTAAAAAGCATCGGTTTAAACCATCCTCTTGTATTGTTCTAACTTTCGGTTAGTACCAATTTATCCAATATTAGTGCAAGTGGCTGACGTAAAACAAAAAAAAAAAAAAAAAAAAGTTCTAAGTAAGGGACCACGGGCAGGAACAGTTGCAACTGGCGGTTTTGTGTATTTTACATATCGCATAACTTTATTTGTGCACGACATAACTTTGTTTTTATAACGTGTAACTTTATAACAAAATTATATGAGTTTCACACACGTTATGAAAATTGAGATACAAAATGTAATTTGAATTATATAATCTTTTATAATCAAATTCTGATCATGAACTATGCAGGGACAGTCCTTTTAATGACCGTCTCTGCCCCTTGTTCCTAAGTAAGATAGCAGGCTTTCATGCGCTGAATTAATCATTTTGGGTTAGCTTATTTGGTAAATTGAGTCCGTCTCGATGTATACAACAGTAACGTGGAGAATAGAGACAACTTGTCCCTTGACTATGATTAGACTAGTAAGGGCAGGTATATGCCTGCAACCTGCTACAATTTGATAATCCTTTGCTAGTCCCGAGAGAATATTGTGAAGAAATAAAAAAAAAGTGCCCCTCTTGGTGAGCTCAATTGTTTGGTGAAAGGGATAAAAAAATTGTATTCAGTTTCCAGTGTTTTGTACTAATGACCAGAAAAAATTTCATATTCCATGTGAGAATAGCAGGGTGCAGTTCCAAACACAAAAATATGATTCTAATTGAAAAACATTTCATTATTCACCTTATCCATACTCAGTCTATAGTAGTAGATATAGAGTATGCATAAAGCAAGAGTAAGGCGTTTTTCTGTTGGTAACTTTTACGGGTTTTTTTTTTTTTTGTTTTTTGTTTTTTACGTTGATAACTTTAACATTACTCTGTAAAGTTTTATTTTTGGTCTCACTAAGTGTTTTATTTTAGTAAAAATCGTACCAAAGAATTAACTATAAGTGGCAAAATGAATATATGATTGATAAATGGATCTAATGGATAGTGGATTAGATTGATCCAATCCAAATATAACCGTTTAATAAATAGATATAAATGGATAGGATTCAAATGGATAATGCAAAACCATAATCTATCCATTTAACCATTTACTAGTCCTATAACTAGTAGTGTCTGTGCATTGTACTTTTGTGTCTTTTTATTTTTGTATGTGTTTTTCTTTTCTGGGTCTCTTACATTCTGTTTTTGTGCACTATTTTTTTAGTCATTTTCTTAATATTCCAATAATGCTTGGCAATTTGAAAATTTTTTTCACACCTCATTTCTACCGTATTTTATTCCTATTAATTAAATTAAGAATTCATGAAAATTGATTAGAATGTATTACTAAAAAGAATGTTATGAAAATTTTCTAATTCTCAAAACTCATAATTTATCCCAACCTTCTACCAATTAGATTAAGAAATTATTGTGATTGTTCTCATTTCTATGGTGTAAAAGATTTATTAGTAAAAATTCTACCCTCCATTAAATTCAAACCTGGTACAACTTTTAACAGTAATGGTACAAGTTAACAATGCTCATGGTATTAGTTATTAATGTATTAGGAGTGTGGATTAGATTGTAAGGGTCTAGATTTAGCCATCTATAATCCCCTCTCTAGATACCAAGACAAACAATAGAAACCACTGTTCCAAAATAAAATAATAATAAAAACAAATGAAAAATTAGGTTTATATTGTACGATAATATACTCTCTTCTTAATTCCTGAAAATGTGCCATCAACCGGCAATTTCTATGAGAGCATATGAAAGAGAGAAGGAAAACATAGCAAGAAGGCGTAAAGACTAAGATAATTTTTAAAATAATGCATTAATAATTAGACTAAGATAAAATTTTACTAAAATGGAAACGGACCAGGGGGAAATCTGAAAAGGAACAGCAAGTGGTCCCATAAGGTTCGGTTTTCACTTGACTGAAATATAACATTTGCATCTATTTTTGTAACAAGTGGATATATATGGGTGATATGAATAATCTATTTAAATTTATCAACATAAGTGGATTTAGATGAATTATCCATTTAAACTCGGTAAGTTTATTGCAGTCATCCAAATCCTGGTTTGCGTGGGATGGATAAGCGAATATGAATCCATTTTGCCGTTTCTAGAGTTAGGGTGCGTTTGATAAAACTTAAGTCTGAAAAATTAAAGTGTAAAATCTAAAATATCAAGTTTGAATCCATTAAATTATTGAATTGTTGAGTATTAAATCTGATACATTTGAGTGTATATCACATTCAGTGATAAGTAAATATTTTTATCACTTAATTTTGGAAACAAGTTTTGTCTAAAAAATTTAATACCACTTAATTAATTCAAATATTCAATTTTTTGTTATCAAACGGTTTGAATATGTTAAGATCTGAATCTATTAAATTTAAATGATGAATTAGGTTATCAAACAGGACCTTAGCCATCAACTATCATATTAACTTCTATCAGCTTTCATCTTTTCTTATGATCAATATTTTGTTTCAAGTTCATACCGTGGCAGGGAAATAGGACCAGCGGGAGCCATCGCCTCCTCCCTCTTGAAAAATGTCCGCTTAATATGGTATAGAATGTCTAAAATATTTGATATAATCGCAAGTTTGCCTCCTCTAACTGTTGTCAACATATTTACCTTGGATTGCCGACAGTAAAGGAAAAAAAGTGTGAGAAAGAAATAGACGAATAGGATTGCAGAGATCGTGGACAGAAGATAAAACAAGATAGGGAGTGATTCTTCAAATTACGTGGCTGGTAGTGGCAAGCGCTCTCTGGGCAGAGGAGAATGGTGCAAACGCATTTTGCCAGCTACCGCTCAGAGAAAATTATGCATGAATCTTCATCCAAACTTTGGGTACCAGATGACAGGATCCCTTGTGTACTCTCTACATGTAATATGTGCCCCTCCTTGTTGAGTTGGCAATTTGGAACAACTATATATAGAGAAACCTCTTTCCCTAATTCAAACCCTCCAGACGAACAAATATTATCACCTCTTTGCATGTAGAGGGAGATCAAAGTAATAAAGAAAAGCAGAGGGTTACTAGACAGAAGAAATGGCAAAGCAAATTGCTCATGCTGTCATGCATTGCTTCCTCCTCCTCCTTCTGACAGGCGTAGCCGTGGCAACAGCTCGTGGCATTGCACAAGGCCCCGAAGCAGTTGATGAGTGGTTCAGTAAGCTGGGCGGGGCAAAAAAGAAGGTGACAAAGCTCCATTTCTATATCCATGACTCGGTTAGTGGGAGAAACCCAACGGCGGTCACCGTGGCCCGAGCCAACACGACTTCGACATCCCCCACACTGTTCGGACTAGTTAACGTAGCTGATGACCCCCTCACAGTTGGTCCTGAGCCGAATTCGACGATAGTGGGTCGAGCCCAAGGCATTTATTCCTGCGCTGACCTGAGCGAAATAGGACTAATCATGTACATGAATTTCTGCTTCACAGCGGGAGAGTACAAAGGAAGCACTCTGAACATGCTCGGAAGAGACGTTGAATTGTATAACGTCGACGAATTCTCCATCGTTGGCGGCACCGGGGTTTTCCGATTGGCGCGCGGACTTGTGATGGGTGTCAAACCACCAAAAATAAAATTTATATTAGACTTACTACCAAAACTGAATGAATATAGTGGTGAGTAAGGTCGTCTCCTCAGGGAACAGGTAGGCAAATCACACAGGAAAATGGGGGGGGGGGTTTTTTAGCAGTAGTACCAACTAATTAAAAAAGAATAAAAACTGAAATTTAAAGTTGAGTAAAATAGCAGGAACCAAATTACACAAATAACAATTAATCAAAACAACCTAGTCAAGGAATTAATCTTGGCACCGAAGCACACAACTGATCACAGATACACGGGACAATTCATATACTCACGAATAAACTGGTTATAGTGGTCAAGCGACGCGCCTAACCACCAATCTTTCCTTAATTTTATGGTAGTCAAGAGACGCTCATAAACTACCCTCTTGTGACTAGACAACCCCAGAAACGCTCACAGGATTTAATGTAGCCACAACATTAGGAATTAGAAAGACCCAATTCTAGATGACAAACACACATGCGGATTTATTTATGTTAGATTAATTATCCCCACGATCCAAATTAGACCGCTTGCGAGGCGGTGAAGTTGTCTCGTTTGCCACTAATCAAGATGTTTAAAGGCTACGTGCCAACATCTTAATTGGCTATCAATTATTTAGACAATCGAATAACAGGCCTAATTATCCAATAAATCTAAACAATAATAACTCGGGAAAAAATAGAGAATAATCAAATACCCATGAACATATAAATTAAAAATAAAACAATTAAAATGATTTCACAGTTATGGTGCTCCAATCCTTGATTTATTCCTCAACTAGATAAAAGAACTAGCCTTGCCACATAATCATGAAGTAATTTGGAGTTTTCATGGAGTTTTTGTTGATTGAAAAAGTAGTAAAAGGTATCGGCCGCCACTCACTACTTGCGTTCCAGAGGAAAAAGAGAAAAAAAAAAAAAACAAAGAGACAAGTCCAAGATAGAAGATAATCCCCCCAGTCTATTGCTGTCTTCTTTTTATTGTTTGCGCCGCCGCTTCCTTTTTGCTAGCCGAAATAATAGGTGGGTTTTTTCAAACAATTTGCTTCCTGTATTCCCCCGTTGGATTGTTACCAAAAGTTTTCTTCGAATTCTATTTCCTCTGCTACTTAAAGGTCTTCGCGGCACTTGTTTTCCAATTCTAATTGGTTTCCAATTCTCCTGTGTTTACCAAAAGGATTCATTTTTCTTACTTTCTTAGTTGTTTGTTGTCAAAAGACTTCTTGTTTTTAAGGTTTCCTGATCTCACGCATGGTAAAAAGGTATCTTCCAATCAGAATGGTTGTTCCAGGGCTTGGGCCCGCGATCCAGCTTTTTCACGCAACTCTGTGTTGTCTGATGTGGGCACGCCTTAGAAGCAAGAGTCTTCTGGATTTTGTCTCTCTTTTGTCACTTTTAACACTAATTGCCTGTAATTAACACAAATACTAATTATGAGTAGAAATCCAATACTTTGCATACTAAACTGCCAAAATTAAGACCAAATAACCACAAATAAAATGCATAATTATATCCCTATCAAATTCCCCCACACCAAAACAATGCTTGTCCTCAAGCATTTCAAACTTTAAATACACAATCAAGCGAGCAAACATTTTGCAGCAGTTGAATTCAAAACAATGGCTATTAATCAAAGCAACTATTGCTAATGTATATTTTAGATAACTGTCAAGTACTGATGACAAATTTTACGAGATAACTCTCTAACTAGCCTTTGAAACCAATGACTCTTTCAAATCCAGACTAACTAATCTAAGAGTAGAAAATATCCAACCAACATTTTCTCAATAACTGGTCCAACTATTAAGCAAAATCTCAACATAAAGACTCATGGATCCGCAGGCAATACAATTATTCACATACCTTCATGCTCGTACACTCTTTTTTTTTTTCTTTCTCATTTTTTTTCATTTTTTTTCTTTTTCCTTCTTTTTTCTCTTTTTTTTTCTTGAAATAAGTGCTTAGTCTTGAGCCATTCAAGTCTTTTGACGCGAACTCCGACATCTCTCCAATGAAGGAGTCCGATTACTCAACTTTAACCGCTTAAAGACCACATACTCATAGTTATCGTTGCTTTTTGACGCGAAAATCGACACTTTAGGTGAAAACCCCTGGTTACTAGTCAATGATAACCAGCGAAGTATAGCCAACTATTATTCACAAATAAACACCCAAGTAAAATTAAAATCATGCAAGCCTGCTTCATTTTCTTAACATGGAGAACTAAAATTAATAGTTGAACCAGTTCACACAAAAATGTCAGACAAATATTTACAATGCCTAGAAAAGTTAACCAAAAGAAATTGCTAGAGTCACAAAATTTCAAATATTTACCAGAGAGACATCCTAAAATTTTATCATCTCCTACTTAACATATTATCATCTAAAACCGTAACAATAGTTAAATTTGAAAATCTAGCCATTACTTATCAGGGCTAACCATAAAAATTCAAAAGGTATGGTAAAGGTTTTCTTTTTTTTTTTTTTATTTAGAGAAGAAGGAAAAGCAGTAAGAAGGAAAAGCTAGACTACTCCCCCCACACCTAAAGTCTACATTGTCCTCAATGTAAGAACGAAAAGTTGAAGTCAAGTGAAGGGAGCAAAAGAAACTTCCCTGAATGAAAAAAAACTGCAGCAAAACACCATGGTAGAGGACGTGTCAGGGACTGGCAGCGTGGAGCCTCTGACGGTGGTGTGGTGTAGCGTTGCTTCAGATGGAAGCGGAAGTCTTCAATCCAAGCCTGTGTCCCCAGAGTGGACTAGAGTTGCTGTAAGGCGTGCCCATGCCTTACAAGGCAGAGTCTTCTGCCCAAGCATTTCTACGGTGTTCAAGACCATCACTTATAAGGCGTGGGCATGCCTTGTAAATCCAAGTCTCCTGTCCAACACCAAAAAGAACACTTGCAATGAAGCAAAACAACCCAAAATCAACGAAAAACGAAAGAGAACAATAACAAAAAAAATGGAGGCCTTGGGTTGCCTCCCAAGAAACGCCTTTCTTTAACGACTTTGGCTAGACGACTCCACAGTGAGCAATTAGACATAGATAGGATCTATCAAGTGTACCTCTTCCACAGTGCCAATGTCTGAAATATCAATAAACGATTTTAAACGATGACCATTAACCGTAAAACTCTTATTAGTCTCTAAACTTTGGATTTCAACCACACCATTGGGAAAAATATTGACTACCACATATAGTCCAATCCAACGGGATTTTAACTTACCTGGCATGAATTTCAACCGTGAATTGAACAAGAGTACCTTTTGTTCTGGGAAAAAGTGTTTCACACACAATAGGCGGTCATGAAACTGCTTGGTACGCTCTTTGTACAAACGTGCATTGTCATATGCTTCAAGACGAATTTCCTCCAACTCCTGAAGTTGGAGCTTTCTCTCTTTGCCATCTCTATCCGCATGGAAATTGTATTGCTTGACTGCCCAGAATGCACGATGCTCAATAGCCACAAGTAAATGACACATCTTACCAAACATCAACCTATATGGGGACATTCCAATGGGCGTTTTATACGCGGTTCGATATGCCCACAAAGCATCATCCAATCGCAAGCTCCAATCCTTACGGTTGGGATTAACCGTTTTCTCCAATACGCTCTTGATCTCTCGATTGGAGACTTCAACTTGCCCATTGGTTTGAGGATGATATGTTGTACTCACACGATGGTGCATTCCATATTTTCTCATGAGAGCTGCAATGGTGCGATTGCAGAAATGGGTACCTTGATCACTGATGATGGCTCTTGGCACCTCGAACCTACTAAAAATGTGGGATTTGAGAAATCCTACAACAACTTGAGAATCATTAGTCCGGGTAGCCTTTACTTCTACCCATTTCGATACATAGTCAACTGCTAACAAAATATACAAAAATCCAAAAGAGCTAGGAAAAGGTCCCATAAAGTCCATATCCCAAACATCAAACACTTCACAAAATAACATAGGCACTTGAGACATTTCATCCCTATGAGACAAACTTCCAAATTTTTGACATTTTTCACAACTTTTACAAAATGCATAAGTATCATGAAACAATGTTTCCCAATAGAAGCCACAATCAAGCATTTTTCTAGCAGTTCTCTTAGGCCTAAAATGGCCACCACATGCATAATTATGACAATGAGTAAGGATAGAAGGAATTTCACTTTCAGGTATATATCTACGAATAACTTGATCAGAGCCTATTTTCCACAGATATGGCTCGTCCCAAATATAGTATCGAGAATCATGGATTATCTTATCCTTCTTACTCTTACTCATGCTAATAGGGAATTTATGACTGATCAAAAAGTTCACAATATCTGCATGCCAAGGTTCCTTACCTTTGAGATAGAAAAAATGTTCATCAGGAAATACCTCAGATATGGGAACTGCTTCCTCTTCTCTTATCAACCTAATCAAATGGTCAGCTACTGAATTATCCACTCCTTTCTGATCCTTGATCTCCCAATCAAATTCTTGCAGCAAGAGCACCCAACGAATGAGTCTTGGCTTGGACTCCTTTTTTGACAAGAGATACTTTAAAGCTGCATGATCAGAGTAAACCGTTACTTTTGATCCCAATAGATATGATCTAAATTTCTCAAAAGCGAAAACAATGGCTAGAAGCTCCTTCTCCGTGGTGGTGTAGTTGCATTGAGTTGATGTCAATGTTTTTGACGCATAGTATATCACGTGACTACACTTCCCACTCCACTGTCCAAGCACAGCTCCTACGGCATACTGACTGGCGTCACACATGAGTTCAAAGGATAGCTTCCAGTTTGGGGGTTGGATGATTGGTGCCATGGTCAACATACCATTGAGTGTGTCAAAGGACAATTTGCAATCATCTCCAAAGTTGAATGGCACCTCCTTTTGAAGCAGGCGAGACAATGGTTGAGCAATTTTTGAAAAATCTTTTATGAAACGCCAGTAAAAACCTGCATGGCCTAGAAAACTATGAATATCCTTGACATTAGTAGGGTAAGGTAGACTAGTGATCAAATCAATTTTAGCCTTATCTACCTCAATACCCTTTGATGAAACAACATGGCCCAAA